GGCAAAAAGCACTGCAATGAACATTTGTGTATAAATCTCCATTTGTGTCTCAGTCCTAATTTCTTTGGGGTAGATTCCTAGTAATAGAATAGCTGGGTCATAAGGAGTTTCTGTGTTCAGGTTTTTTAGGAAACCTCTTCCTGCCTTCCAGAGCGGTTGTACCATTTTACAATCCCATCAACCATGTATGAGGGTTCCTATCTCTCTGCATCCTCTCTCCAATACTTATTGCTTTCTGTCCTGCTAAACTTCACCATTGCTACTGGAGTGAGGTGGTTTTGATTTGCCAGTGATTTTGAGCATTTCTTCATGTGTCTGCTGGCCATCTGAAAGTTTTCCTCTGTGAAAATTCGTTTCATGTCTTTTGCCCATTTTATAATTGGGTTGGGGTGTGTGTGTGTGTGTGTGTTTGTGTGTAGGATCAGGAGTAGTCTATAAACTTTTGCTATGAGACCCTTTCTGAGGTGGTGTTGCCAAATGTTTGCTCCCAGTTGGTAGGTTTTCTTATCACCCTGTTGAAAAAAGTTTTTTAAGAAACCAGAAATTTAATCTTTAGAAGGTCCCATTCATCAATTTTATACTTTCCAGATTGTGCATTTATGGCTGTATTTAGCAGTGTCTTTAAACCAGACCAGATCTTCTAAACTTGATCCCAGTTGTCTCTTATTAACTTTATGGTTTTGAGCTTTACACCCAGGTCTCTGATTCACCTTGAGTTGGTTTTTGTGTATCATGTGAAATGTAGATCCTGTTTCAGCTTTCTGCAGGTAGTAGTCCAGTTTTGCAAGCACCATTTGTTGAAGAGGTTATTATTTCCCCATTTGATAGGTTTTGTTTCCTTGTTGAATATAAGATAGCCATACATGGACTAATTTCTGGGTTCTTGATGCTGTTCCATTAGTCTATACTTCTGTCATTGTACCAGTAACTTGTTGTTTTGGTTATTACAGTTATGAAGCAAGTTTTAATATCAGGAAATGCTATGCCTCACACTTCATTCTTGTTTTTCAGAAGCAATCTCTTTCCTCTCCAAATAAACTTGCCAATTGCCCTTTTGACCTCTTTTAAAAAGGAATTTGGTATCTATATTAAAATTATCTTAAACATGTAGATTGTTTTTGGTAGGATTGTCATTTTTGCTATATTAAGTATTCCTATGCATGAACAGGAGACATTTTTTTCATTTATGTAGAATTTGTTTCTTGCACAAGTGTTTTGCAGTTTTCTTTGTAAAGGTCTTTTTTTAAAAAAAAATTTATTTTGTTGTTGCTGCTGCTGGGAATATATGCAGCAAAGCATACAATTAAACAATTTCTACACACACCATCTAACACTAATTATATTCTTTTAGCTGAACAGTCATTCCTACTCCAACCCATTCTGAGTTATTCCTTTGTCATTAATATAAACTTATTGTCCCCTAAGATTCCTATATAGTCTTTCTAGTTGTTATTGCTAATTTGCTTGCCTACAAATAGAGTTCTTCAAAGAACACAATATTCATGACACAGATCCTTTTTTACTAGTTAAGGTAAACTACTTTGATTATTTGATTTTAAGATTGGTGTGAAAAATAATGTATACAAACTTTATGAACTTTGCATGTAAATGAGTATAAAATAAAATAATTTTTTAAAGGGAGAAATGTCAAACAGAATTTCAAATTTTTGTAGAATCCATGAAAAATGGATGAATCCCTCAAACTATTGGACTTAAATAATTTGTTAAAGTCTTCTGTGTCTCTAGTTTAGGTTTATTGCTAAGTATCCTAAGTTTCTCAATTTGTGATTAACTATTGTACATGGTATTACTTTCTCATTTCCTTATCAGTGTTGAGGTTTTTTTTTTTTATTACTGTAAAGGGCTCCCACTGACTTTTGTATATTGATCTTGTATCCTGCCACTCTACTGAATTGGTCTACTAGCTCTAACAGGGTTTTTGTTGAATCCTTGGGGTTTTCTGTGTACACCATCATATTGTCTGAATATAGTGGCAATTTCACCATCTCTTTACCAGTCTGAATGAATAGGGTTGTTCTGAACATTGGATTAAAACATGGTGATGGGGGTAAAATGAGTGCTCAACTATTTGATAATCCTGAGGAAGTATAAATCACAAGTGGTGCAGGATATACACCCTTCTCAGCAATCGATTTTATGGAGGTTTTTTTACTGTTTGTACCTTCATATAGTGCTTATATTCACTTATAAGAATATTTTTCTCCTTTCACCCCAAAATTCCTTTCTTCTCCTTTTCAGCCAGTTCTCACCTAGCTAGCTCCTGGTTTTAGACACTGCTGGTTAGTTTTATCTATTAGAATTTTGCCTTTTCTGAATGTCATGTAAGTGAGACATTTGTGGCTAAACACTAACTTGACACAAGAGTTTTTCATCTTGTAGTATTTTTTTTTTATTTCATTGCTATTGTTGTTTGGTGTTAAGGTGTTGCACTGACAACTCTAAAGTAAGTGGTTTGAATCCATCAGCTGCTCTTCAGGAGAAAGATGAGCAATATCCTCCTGCTCATTTAACTACCTTGATAATTTTGCTGAAGGGCCAGTAAGGATTGGTACATAACAACAGCAAAATACCAATATATAAATTCAATCTTTATTTGTCCTCAAAGGTTGGAAACTGACAAATATATTTAACATTATTTGTAGTACATATAACTAACAATCAAACATCTAAATAAAAAACAGATTCATTTGTTGTGGGTGTTTTCCCCCAGTTATAATATAGACTTTTTTTAAGTTTTATACTGGTTTATTTACAAAGTTCAAATATATTGTCTGTCACACCGGATCTTTCCCATTTCCTTCACTACTCCCACCCATCAAATTGTGCAACCCTGTGATTAACCCCTCCCCACCCTGCCCATCTTCATGCTTCAGCTTTCCCCCCCACCCCCTTTGGATCCTCATAATCATTTTACAATAATGGTTTTGTACAGTATTTGTCCTTATGAGACTGAGTAAGCTCACTCAGCATAATGTTACCCAGTCCCTCTCAAGTAGTAATTTATAAAAATCATTGCTTCTGCATGCTGTGTTGTATTCCATTGTGTGATGTACCATAATTTCTTAATCCATCTGATTGTGGGTGGACATCTGGGCTACTTCCATGTTTTTGCAATGGTGAATAAGGCTGCTATGAACATTGTTGTGCAACTGTCATGGCTTTATGTGCCAGATTACATCTTAGTTCAGGACAAACTACACTAATATTTAAGTCACTAAAATCTGGCTTTCATTTGGCATAATGCATTTGAAATTCTGCCATATTGTAACATTCATCAGTAGTTAATTTCTTTTTATTAATAAGCAACATTTCCTCATATAGATGATACATGTTGTTAAGTGCCATCAAGTTGAGCACGACTGAGGGACACTATGAACAGAAGATCTGAACCTTGTTCTATAACAATCATTGTTTCTCTGTGTTCATAGTTTTCTGAAGCATGTTGTTTAGAAAGTGAATGCCACTCCTGCTTCTAATACCGTTTTGGTCTGGGAACTCCACCAAACACTGTCTACAATGGGTAACCATTATGACATTTGACACACTAGTGGCACAGAAGTCGGCATCACAGAAACCCCAGTTTACCTCAGAACAGCAAATTGACAGACCAGTGCTGTACCACTTAGAAGAACATTCATCCCAAACACAATTAACACTAACTTTTAAATAAAAAGGCCTGCCCCCCAGGTCCAAACTGACTCTAAACATGAGACTTCCCTCATTGCTAGCTAAATCCAGCAAATCCAATCAACTCACACACAATTGTGAAAGAAAAAATCCAACCAAACAATCCACATCTGACCCTTAACCAGAATAGGAAAACCCACCTTTCAGAATCCAACCACTTCACTCATGAGCATCCACCAGCTAAAGAACTCTGGTTACACGATGGTTAAGCAATGAAATCTTTGATTTTAATTCACCAGTTTGTACTCAGAGGAAAGAATGGCAGTGTGTTTCTGCAAATGTCTCCAGCCTTTGAAAGCCTATAGGGCAGTTCTGTTCTGTAGGACTTCTATGAGTTGGAATTGACCTCACACCACTGGGTTGGGTTGGGTTTGATTTATCCACAAGCTAATGAATTTTGGAGTATTTTCAGTTTTGGGGTGGTTATTATTAGTTGCTATTCAGGTGGCTCTGGCTTATGGGTACTCCATGGGTGTCCACAAGCTTTCAATGATTTGCCAGAAATAGATCTCCAGGCCTTCACTATGGAAGGCATTTCTTTGCTTCCCCCTTCCCCCCAAAAGGCTTTTTTGAGGCACCTCTAAGTGACTTGAAACTCTAAACTTTCATCTAACAGCCAACACAGTTAATGGTTTGCACTACTCACAGGCTCCTTTTTTTTTTTTTAATAAGGCTGTATTATTACATAACAACAACAACAACATCAGGATGATGAATAGTTTCATTACTGTTATCAAGTTAATTCCAAGTCATAGTGATATTGTGTGTGTGGACTAGAACTACTCCATTGTTGTTGTTGTTGTTGTTAAGTGCCGTAGACTTGTAGATGACCCATAACAACCTTATGAACGAAAGTCTTGAACACAAAACTGTCATCTTTTCTCCAAGTTCACAGTTTCCAGAAGCAAGCTTTTTTAATGGAAGTGGATGCTACTTCTGCTTCCAAGGCTGTTTTATTCAGGAGATCCACAAAAAGCCTTTTTAAATACTAGGCCAAATCCAATCAGCCCATATAGGATTACTAAATTTTTTTATTGATTTCCATATAAATCCCCCCAATGTATAGGAATGAAGTACAATGTACACAACCTCCTTTTTGTGGGTCCATTGATTCTTTGGTCTTTAGGAGTTAGGAGCCATCAAAGTCCTCATTTTATAAAGAGCAGAGTTGGGAATGGTGTCACAACAGTCCAGGGTCTCCTAGAGCCCCCATCCTTTCAGGGTCTTGGATTCTAAAGAAGAGAAGCCATAAAGAAAAAAGAACTGATGACAATATTCTTGGCTTTTCAGACATGAAGCAAAAGGGGTCCCCTCTACTCTCAGGGCCTGCCATGCCCCATGAAGAGGACATTACCTTTTCCAAGACCAGAGGGACACTGAGCTGGAGTAGCTCCTCATCCTCCCAGTCCTCCAAAGACTACCAGTCCTACTCCCAGTACCAGTCTTGCTACTCATGCTTGTACGACCAGGAAAATGGGTCTCAGCAGAGTGTGTGCGCCTTCTACACCCACGTGCAGACTGTGCGAGGAGTGGCTGTGGCCTGGGAGACAGAGACGGGATTTGAGCCAGTCAACAAGAAGCCCAACAGGAAGCCCCGCATTCGTGAAGCTGAATTCATCAAGAGGCAGAGGAGAAAAGGATCCTCCTTCGAGATGGCTTCCAACACCGACCTGCATTGGGACTTGGAAGCCAGCAAGCACTGCTGCCCAGAGGAAGAGGACTCAGAGCTGCTGGCGCCCCTGGACTGCTGCTTGCAGGAGTTGCGGGAACATCCAGATTGGCTGGTTACTACAGACTATGGGCTGCGTTGCATGGCCTGCTGCAGAGTCTTCCCCACATTGGAGGCACTGCTAGAACACGCCCAATATGGCATTAGGGAGGGCTTCAGCTGTCAGATCTTTTTTGAAGAGATGCTAGAGAGAAGGCGTGCCCAGAATCAAGGCCAGCAGGTGGAGGAGGAGGAAGAAGAGGAGGAGAAGGAGGAGGAAGGAGAGGAAGGGGTGGAAAATAAATAAGACTCTTCAGACACCAGTGAATGTTCTAGGCCCAACAACATGACGCCTCAGCCACAGGAGAAGCAGCATTGGATGCGATGTGTCCAGCCCCTTCCTCACCTTCTCTGTACATTTGTTCCTCCTTCCCGAGAAGAAGACCAGGCCATCAGGGCAGGGGAAGAGTCCTAAAAGCCATGGGGAAGGCAAAAGGGTGCAGAGTAAGCAGCACCTGTGAGAGGAGAGGGGGAAGGGCACACCATTTCAACCAGTATCTGAAAATCTGAATACAAAGACCAAAGCATCAAATTCTCTAGTGGTGGAGATCTGGAAACTCAAGTGGGAAGCCACAGAGGTGTTTATTTTTGCTTGGGATTAAGGGAGTCCACAAGAACTGGATAAGCATCAAGACTTGATGGAAATTTGTCCCCTCTGGAGGCTTTAGACCCATTTTGTTCCTTGTTAGGGATCATTCACAAGCCCCAGTTTTATGCCAAGATGTCAGTGGGATTAAAATTTAATAACTCAGAGTTTAAGGCCATGGCTAATTGAACTAAATATGCTATGAGGCTGTGCCACATGACATTTTTGTGTCTGTAGCATGGCACAAGCATGGCACCTAGAGACAAGCATCCTCCCAGACTTGGAGATGGCAGCTAGATATGGCCTTGTGACTTATGTGTTTTATATGTCAACTAAGGCTTAAAAGGCTACAAAATTTGTCTTACTCTCCAACTGGGAGAGGCTGCACTATTCAATAAGATACATTGAGTTCCTCTGTGTGTTAGACACACTATTCTTAGTTTCAATGAGAAAAAACTAGAACATTGCAAGACAGGAGTAAATCACAGGAAAGAGTAAATCACAGGAAGAGGAACTCAGAGAAAGAAACGTATCTTCATTCAAGGTTTCTAAAAGGAGTGATACACAGGGCTTGTGCATATACTACTAAAGTACCCTGATTAAAAAGAATTTAAATTAAAAGTATTAAATATATAGGGTACACCATCTCAATAAGCATCTGCTAATTCCACCATCACACTCTCCCACTGTTCTCTGCTTTCCTCATTTTATTTTGTCTACTATAATTTGTCTCATTTCCTTATGTACTCCAAGTGATCTCATACTTCATAGCCTTCACACCTGCTCCCTCCTCTTAATGAAACTCAGCGTTTTCTTTCACTCTTTTGGGTGATCATTTTTCATCTCATCATTCGTTTTCAAAGACAGAACTCTATGTTACTTTAGCACACACTACATTCTAAGTGCAATTAGTTTTACAAAAATAAGATCCAGCACAATCAAATCTATGTTTTAAAGAAAACTTCACTCACTCTGGTTCTGATGTGAATTTTAGCAAAAGAAAAAAGAAGAAATAGAAATCACTTACAGGTTTGTAGCAAGAGTTCCCTCAACAGAAGTTCATAGCTTGGCTCATACTGGTGGCAAGACAAGGGAAATAGAGGAGTACATGTGCTCAAAATATTATTTAAAGAATAAATGGTGTTTCATTATTTGTCCTGTAAAGATTAACAGCAGACTACTTATGAGAAGTTTCAGGTCCATATAGTCCCAAATGCTTAATTAGCTGTAAGCACTCATAATTTCTAACATGAACATCTCCATCTGTGCCTCAGTTGCCCAATTCTTCTATGGCCCTTGGGTTCAGATTTTCTAGAAGGTCTTCAAGAGACTCAGCCATGTCAAGGGAATGATTTGTGTGATCATAGGTAGCAGGCTGGATTTCGAGAAACTGGTGAGTTATGAGCCAGGATCCTATAGACTGTCATGTGTGACACAGTTAGATGGTGACTGTGGGTGATGAAGGCTAGTGGAGTAGAGACTGGTGAGCAGCTGGAAGCTATATCCCAGAGCTTTTCCAAAGTAAAAAGGTGCATGAAACTTAGGTCCCATGAACTTATATAAGCCCCATCCTAATTCTCTCTCCTTAATACAATTAATTACTTCAGAGAAAAAAAATAGTTAATAATTGGCTAGAGAAGACATCTGAATGATAAATCTTAGACACCCAAAAATGCAAAAGACATCATGATGGGCAGAGGTAGGAGGAGCACATGGGTGGATGTGTGGTTATGTATTAACTGTGGTGAGACCAGTGCAAGACGATCAGCAAGATGAGGGGTGTGCGTGTGTGTGTGTTAGACACACTACCCTTAGTTGCATACACATTGCACGTGCATTTACAGATGTTAGTAATTATGGAAGTGTCAACTATGGAGGTCAGATAGGACACAGATAATTTCAAGTGAAAAAGACTCATCCAAGCAAAGATGTCAAATTGGAAGTGGTTTCTGATTGAGAACGCAAAAGCTCAAATCTGGATTTGAAACATAAATTTGGAGATCAGCAGCACTTGGATAGTGGCATATTTAACACTATGCTCATGAGCTAGGGAGCTGGGGTCATTAGGATTGACATTAGTTGTAGAAGTGTGTCTTAACAGCATTTTCAGGAAATGGAAGAGGTCATAGACTCTCTTAATCTAGTGAGAGTGACCAGGAGACCTGCAGGAAGAGAAAAAAAATGAGGAATGGCTTCAACTTTGTTGAGTGCTTATCAGAAGAGCTACCTATCTGGTTTTGGAGGGAATACACTGGGAAGAAAGAATCAATGAAAAGACAGAGGTGCCAGTCAAGTCCAAATTAGTGAGCATTAGAGGTAGAAGATAATTTTTTTTATTTAAAATCAGTGTTAGGTACTCAATGTTAATGACATCTAAGCTTTGGAATTTAAACCCTTTAAGCAAGTATATATGTAAACTAATGCAGGATCAAATACTGTTCCACATATTTTATGAATATTAAAGTGTATAACATCCCAACAATCCAATCATAAGTCCTTTTTTATTACCTCCTTTGTAGAGAAGGGAGCTCTGGTAGTGTATGTAGTTCATAGGGAGTTGCACTGTTAACCCAAAGCCGCACAACTCTCACAGCTGGAATCAACTGGTGTCTTTAGGACAAAGGTAGCCAATCCTCCTCCTGTACAATTTACAGGCTCAGAAAACCAATGGAGGTCAGCTATAATTGGGTTCAACTCAATGATAATAACTTGACTTTGAGCTGTTTTTTTGTTTTGTTCTGTTTTAAAAAAAAACAGGTACTGAAGAACTGGTCAAGATTCCACAGTTGGTTCAGGCAGCCTGGTGTTCCAGAGCCTCAGCACTAATTAACACCTCTGGAAGCAACACTTTACTATGGAGACAGAGGCACAACGTTCAGAAAGGCAGACATGCCAACTCCATGGGCTGTACTGTCTTGACATTTGTAGCAGAAGTTAGAGACTAGGGGAAGATAATGGAAATTTAGGACAAATAAAAGACAGCAACCTTAGGTAAGAAAGGTCATTTAAATATAAATGACACCTTTAGCTGACATGGATGGAAAGGGATAAAATGATTTTTTAAGTAGTTATTTCTTTTTTAAACATATTTACACTCAATTAAATTAAAATAGTTTTTAATAGATTGTGTTTGGGTTGTTTTTGAAATTTTATTTTATCAATTTTCATGAACATTTATAGAGATTTTGGATTTCTATTCATTCATTCATTCATCGTTGCACTTTTCTCCCTGCCCATCCCTCTCCCCCAGTTCGTTCTTCTCTTTGAAAACTAAAAGAAAAATTCCTTCATTGGTATACAATTCTCCTCCCCCACAACCCGAGTACACGCCACTATGTAACCTTCATTCTGGACTCTTGTGATAACCATAATACCCTATCATACATAGCTTTTAAACTATTCTCTCCCTCATCTGTTTCAATGCACTATACATAATTTATCCAGTTTTTCTCACTCTTACCCCAACCCTGATGTCAGTCCCATTCTACAACAATGGCACAATGTAGTATTTGTCTTTTTGTGACTGAGATATTTAATTCAACATAATGTCCTCCAGGGACACCAATTTTTAATAATATTGCATGAGTCCTTGTTTTTAAATGCAGCATAGTATTCCATTGTGCGAATATACCTCAGCTTCTCTATCCATTTGTTTGTTGATGGGCATTTAGGTGTTTCCAACTCCTTGCTCTTGTGAACAAAGCCGTGATAAACAGGTGTGCATATATCGGCTTGGATGGCAGTTATGGTCTCTTTGGGGTATATTCCCAGTAGTGGAACTGCTGGTCAAATGTAATCTCTATTTGCAACTTTTTGAGAAAGTGCCACACTGCCTTCCACAGTGGTTGCACCATTTTACACTCCCACCAACAGTGAATAAGGGTTCCAGTTTCTCCACAACCTTGCTAGCATTTGTTGCTTGCTGTTCTGTTAAATTTTGCTATTCTTACTGGGGTGAGATGATATAATTGTTTCGGTTTGCATCTCTCTCAGAGCTAGGGATTTTGAACATTTCTTCATGTGCATGTTGACCATATGAATGTCTTCTTCAGTGAAGTGTCTGTTCATATCCTGTGCCTATTTTTCAGTTGGATTATTTACCTTTATCTTGTGGTGCAATTGTGTTTGTTTTGGGGTATTTTTTTAATAAAAAGTTTAAATACTTCAATAAGCAAAGATGGACTTGTAATTTTTTTTAACTTAAATTCCCTTAAGTCTTTTTATTTTATTATTACAGAACATAGGAAAAGATGAAACTCACCTTAGGAAACTTCCATAAACCTGAGGAGCCATGGTGGCAGTGTTTAAGAACTCATCTGCTAACTTAAAAGTTAGTGATTCAAACACTTCAGGTGGTCTACAGGAAATAGACGTAGCATTCTACTTCTGTAAAGATTTACAGCCTTGGAAACCTTATAAGGCAGTTCCACTCTTTCCAATTAGGTCACTGTGTGTAAGAATGGCTTGTAGTGCATGTTGTTGTTGTTGTTATTATGTGCCTTCGAGTCGCTTGCAATTCATAGCGACCTGCTCTGTTCTGTGTCAATTGCACTGTTTCCGATATACCCATCCCGATTACCCCAGTCACTGAGTCAATCCACTTCATAGAGGGCCTTCCCCTCCTGCGCTGTCCCTCCACCCTACCAAGCATGATGTCCCTCTCCAAGGACCAATCCCTCCTTACATGTCCAAAGTATGTTAGACGGAGCCTCAGAATCCTTGCCTCCCAGGAGCTGCCTGGTTTCAGTCAGGATGAATCTGTTTGTTTTCTTATCAGTCCATGGTACCCTCAGTACTCTTCTCCACACATACTCTTCTCAATACATTTCTCCTTCTATCATCCCTAGTCATTGTCCAACTCTCTGATGCATAACAAGTGATTGCAAAGACCGTGGCCTGTATCAGACGCACCTTAGTCTCCAGAGAGACATAATTGCTCTTCAGAGCTTTGGAAAGATTACTAACAGCAGACTTTCCCATCACAATACATCTTTTAATTTCAAGGCTACTGGTGCCAAAAGTGTTTACTGTATAGCCAAGCAAACTAAAGCTGTGAACAATCTCAATCTCTTCACAATCCATCCTGATGCTGCCAATTGGTCCAGTGGTGAGAATCTTTGTCTTCTTGACATTGAACCTCAATCCATATTGAAGGCTGCACTCCTTGGCCCTCTGCAGCAAGTGCTTCA